ATATATAGCAAAAGGCACAGAGCTCAGCGTACAGTTGGATGACTTTTGACAACTGTATACATCCATGTAACTACTGCCCAGATCAAGACATAAGACGTTTCCATGACCCCTGAAAGCTCCCACGTGCATTTGCCTTTCTGCGGTCCCTCGTTCTGCTTTCTGTCGCCATGGGTTCCTTTCGCCCGTATCAGAAATCACTATAAATGGAATCGCGCGATATCTGCTCTTCTGTTTGCCTGCCTTTGCTTGTCCATGGTGTTGCCCGTGTGCATGTTCCTTTCCTTCCTTGAACCTGCTGAGCGTGTGGACATGTCACAGTTTATCTGCGCACCTGCCCATGGGCACCTGGGCGGTTTCCTCCCTGGGGCTGTTACACGTAGAGCTGCTGGGAACATGTGTGTCTCAGTCTGCGTGGCAGCTGGTCCCCTTCTCCCGATAAACGCCCAGGAGTGGGACTGCGGGGTCACAGGTGGAAGTATTTACTTTAACCATCTCTTCAGGTGCCGCAGCTGCCCACCTGGGTGGGGTACCCCCGTATGCTCCCTTCTAAGCCCTCTGTCCAGGTGAGAAGCCCCTGGAGGTTAAAAAATCTGCTCTGGGTCACAGAGGGATCCGTTTTCCTGACGAATGGTTCCTGAGTCATTCCACATTTCGATTCACATTTAGCTTTGAGAGCTGAACCGACCCTGGGTGGTTTGTTCTGACTAATGTCTGCTGTTCATACCAGAGTTAAAAGCCCATGGACATAACACAGAGTTCTGGCCGCCGAGACTTCAACCAGGTTCCACGCCTCCTTCCCCTGCAGTCTACAGACTGAATGCACCGATAAATTATATCACTCACTGTCCTTCCTCTAAACCCCACCAGGGACCTCCAGGGGGGCAATGCCAATTTAGCAGAGGCAGAGAGCAAGGTGGTTAGAGTCAGTGGTGATAAGAATTCAGATCTGTCTGGGTGGCCTTAGGCAAGTTGCTTCACCTTTCTGAGCCTCAATTCCCTCATCTGTAAAATGGGCACATCACCAGCACTACCTCATGATACTGGAGCATGTGAGGTGTATAAAAGGAGGTGGCAACGGTAGGCTGAGCAGCAGATGGGGGTGAGGATGCAAAGGGAACAGTAATGTGAGACCCTGCCGTTATCCGAGGACACCTACCTTACGTAGGTAGGGTGGGGTTGCCTAAATAGGCAGATTCTTGGGCCCCCCTAGGGACTTACAGAATCAGAATCTGGGGTAGACCCAGGATCTGCTTTTAACCAGCCGAATAATCCTGATGCTCACTAAAGCTTCAGAACCCTCAGCCTGGAGTGTGGACCCAGGAGGAGTCCGGAGGGTCAGCTGAGTATGGGGATGCGGAGACGGGTGGGTGGGAGGACCCACAGGGGAGTTAAGTCTTGGAAAAGTCACAGTGGACAAGTGGGCCAGGGAGGACCAGGGGCAAGTTAAAGGAACCACTTTTTTTCGAGACAGGATCTCATTCTGTCACCCAGGCTGCAGTGCAGTGGCATCTTCATAGCTCACTGCAGTCTCAAACTCCTGGGCTCAAGCGATCCTCCTGCCTCAGCCTCCCCAGTAGCTGGGACTACAGGCACGTGCACCACCACGCCAACTAGTTTTTCTATTTTTAGTAGAGATAGGGAATCGCTCTTGCTCAGACGAGAACTCCTGGCCTCAAGCAATCCTCCCACCTCAGCCTCCCAGAGTGCTAGGATTACAGGTTTGAGCAACCGTGCCGGCCAGGAACCGCTTTATTCCTCCACCAAGACTGCCTTCCAGCTCTGCCCCAGGAATTCCCTCCCCCACCCCCACTCACCTAGCAAGGCTCCCACCTGCCCACACAGGTCTCCAGACACGCGGACCTCATGTGGCATGGTGGGTCAACTCAGCAAAGTTCTAATACCTTTGCAAGGCAGGCGTTATTGAGCTGGGTCTGAAAGTTCTGGTTCTGGAGTTCGGAGGTCCTAGGTTCGACTCCCAGCTGCGTTACTTGCTTCCTGGTTGGATGAACCCGAGTGTTACTTCAGTTGGGCCATAAAAAGGGCTTAATAAGAAGTAGCATCTCTCTAATGGAGTTGCCAGAAGGAATCAGGAGCTTGTGTGGGTAGAGCATTTAACACAATGCCAGGCAACACACGGTTATTACTGCTACAGTGCTGGACTTTATCTTGCTTCCTCTGTGGGTGGGGGAGGGAGGTGGTGACTACTGCTAATCTGGGAAATATTCTACAACATTTTCTAAGGCTCTAACACCAGTTGCCTCCTACCAGGGTGCAAATCAGGCAATCTTAAGAAAAAAAAAATTTCAAACAGAAAATGCTTAACAGAAGCACAGAGAGGGTCCCAGAGAGAACACTCCTGTTTTTGCTTGCTTTGGGAATAACAGCTTCTTTAAAAGCACACTGCAAAGTTAATGCTCTAGGCTGGGCATGGTGGCTCTTGTCTATAATCCCAGCACTTTGGGAAGCCAAGGCAGGAGGATTGCTTGAGCCCAGGAGTTTGAGACCAGCCTGGACAACATAGTGAAACCCCATCTCTGAAAAAAAAAAAAAAACAAATTAGCCAGGCATCGTGGTATGTGTCTGTAGTCCCAGCTACTCAGGAGGCTGAGGCAGGAGGATCGCTTGAGCACAGAAGTTTGAGGCTGCAGTGAGCTATGATGATGCCACTGCACTCTAGCCCAGGTGACAGAGCAAAACCCTGTCTCAAAAAGTTAACACTCCCTTTATCAGATGGACCGGCCCTGGAGGCACTGTTTTGACCCGCCGAGGGGCAGGTATTATAAAATCTTTCAATTTGCTTTCTTGGAAAAGTAGCTTGTTCTAGCAATGCAGACCACAACCACGTCACTGAATGCCAAGATGACAGACCCAAAAAGAAAGCCAATCGTGGACATGTTCGGCATGTGGTGAAAACTTCAAAGATTCCAGGTGTAAGGAATGGTGTTTTTAGATAAAGCAGGGCTGGAAGCTGGAAAGGTCTCGAGAGAAGATTTTTTTTTTTTAAGATGGAGTTTGTGAAATTTGCCTAAAGAAAAAATAAGCCAATGATATTTATATAAAACAATGTCTGGAATGTGAATTGAAATGCAGAAAAGCAAGTCTAGTTTCCACCATGTCAGGAAAACAACCTAAGATCGCAATCTGGGTAAGGCCCAGGTTACTAAGAAGAGGAGACTGTGGGCCCACCTCACCTACTGCCTAGACGTGTCTAGGCACAGTTATTAGCTGGATTAGGCACAGTAACACTTCACGTGCCAGAAGTCTGGTACACACTTGGTGTCATTCAGTCCCTACCACCCTCGGTGGGGAAGGGAAGCATTACGCCCATTTTACAGATGAGTACAGTCCTCCCCCCTTATCCACAGGGGATACGTTCTGAGACCCCCAGTGGATGCCCGAAACCACGGATAGTACCGAACCCTGTATATGCTCTGGTTTTTGATCTGACAACCCAGATTGCTCCTAAGTGACTAAGGGGCAGGTGGCATCTATGCTGTGGGTCTGCTGGACAAAGGGCGGATTCACATCCCGGGCGGGTTACAGTAGAACAGTGTGAGATTTCATCACACTTCTCAGAGTGGCGCACAATTTAAAACTTACAAATTGTTTATTTCTGGAATTTTCCATTAAACATTTTCAGATCAAAGTTGACCATGGCTATACTGAAACCACAGAAAGCGAAATGGCAGATAAGGAGCGGGGAACGCCTGTAAATCATGTCACATCAGAAAGGGTAAGTCACTCGCCCAGGATCACAAAGCTAAGAGGTAGTGGAACCAGAATTCTAACCCACATCCGTCTGGCCCCAGAACCCACTTTCTTCTCCACGTATGAGAAGGTTCAGACTTGGCTGGAGAGCTGACTCAGCTAGAGAGCTGGTTAAAAATCCAGACTCCTGGGTCCCACTGCTGGATGGAGTCTGACTCAGAGGCCTGGGCTGGGCCTGGGAATCTGTATTTATTAAGTTCCCTAAGGGGTTCTGATCTGATGATCTGAGCAGGGAGTTTCTGGGATGGGCCACATCCGTGCCTGCCGGAAGGTCCTTCTGGGAGAGTTGGGGAACCCCCAGCAGAGCCCCAGAAACCACATGTGGGTGCAGGGAGGTGGTTCTGTGGCAAGGACTGATTCATCTCTTGTGGTAGGTAGTTCACGCTGTGTCACCGTGGTTAAGCTGGAACTGCTTCTCCCAGAATCCCCTTCCCTGGCTGTTCTAGGTTAGAACTTGCCAGAAGAGGAATCTGCAGAAATGTGGGAGGTGCAAGGGCAGTAGCAACCGTCACACTCTTGAGTTTGTCACGGCCCGATGTGGTGGCAGACGGGCCCATGGGTTCCAGCAGGTTTGAGCCTGTCCTCCCGTCCGTAAGATCCAGTTCCTGATTCCTACAATAAAGCCCTGTCCCACAGGTCACAGTGGCTCAGCTTCCCGGACTGAGCCTGAATGATGCCATCGTCCACTCTGTCCTGCAGCCCTTTCGACCTACGGCAGGAGATCTAGGAGCGGTCCCCGACCAACAGCATCAGCATTGCCCAAGGAGCAGGTTAGAAATGCAAATCCTTGGGCCCCACCCCAGACCTACTGAATCAGAAACTGGGGGGCGGGCGGCAATCTGTGGTTTTTGTTTTTTGTTTTTTTTTTTGAGACAGAGTCTGGCTCTGTTGCCCTGGCTAAAGTGAGTGCCGTGGCGTCAGCCTAGCTCTCAGCAACCTCAAACTCCTGGGCTCAAGCGATCCTCCTGCCTCAGCCTCCCGAGTAGCTGGGGCTACAGGCATGCGCCACCATGCCCAGCTAATTTTTTGTATATATATATTTTTAGTTGTCCAGCTAATTTCTTTCTATTTTTAGTAGAGATGGGGTCTCGCTCTTGCTCAGGCTGGTCTCGAACTCCTGACCTTGAGCGATCCACCCGCCTCGGCCTCCCAGAGTGCTAGGATTACAGGCGTGAACCACTGCACCCGGCCAGCAATCTGTGTTTTAACAACGCCCCCCCACCACCCCCACCTCAGAGGATGCTAACACAAGCTGCTGAAGTCTGAGAACCACAGATCTGGGAGAAGACAGAGGTGACGGTTACACAGCACTGTGAACGTGCTTAAGGCCACTGAGGTGTATACTTAAAAACAGTTAAAAAAAAAAAATTGTCAGAAGCCACATACAAAAGGTCACATATTGTCTGATTCCATTTACATGAAATGTGCAGAGAGACATGGGTGGTTAACAGTAGCTAGGGGAGCGGATCGTGGAGGTCATTGCTTAATGGGTCAGGGTTTCTTTTGGGGGGGTAATAAAATGCTTTGGAACTGGATCGAGGTGACGGCTGTGCAACACTGTGAATGTACTAAACGCCACCGAACTTTTCAGTTTAAAATGGTTAACGCCGTGTTGTGTAAATTTCTGAGGCTCGACATTATATCTATGAGACTTTAGCATTTATGGAGGCACCATGCTAAGGCTTCACAAACACAGTGTCATTTCATCCTCACCCCAACCCCAGGAGGCTGGCATTATTATTCTCCCCATTGAATAGATGTGGAGCCCAGGCAGTCTGCCTGTAGAATCCATGCTTTTAGCCAATATGCCATTATGCCCAGAACACCGAGTTATTTCTTTGTGCGAAAGACAGAAACCAGGCATGAGCCAGGGCAGCCCTGACTGACACTTAAGTCTCCCAGTCGCTCGGCTTCACCCTGCCCTGAGTCAGAGGGCAGGGAGAGGGCAGGGAGAGGGCAGGTAGTGGCGGGGGCAGACTGGCTTGCTCTTGGGTCGTGATCCCAGGCATTGTGAGATAAAGCTCCCTGGCTACCAGATGTAGTTGGTTTGGATTTGGAGTGAACTTATCATAATGGAAAGATTTTCAAAAACAATTATGATGGTAACAACACCTAAAAATGTATTGAGCAGTTACTATGTGCTAAGTACTTTTTAGAGTTTAATCCTCACAGAATCCTAAAACTATCCTCTCCCCATTTGGAGAAATTAAGCAATGGCCCGAGGTCACCGAGGTCATTAGGGCTAGGATTTGAACTTAAATCTGTTACTTAAATACAAAGTAATATATCTTTTTCTGTAGGAAATTTAGAAAGTACAGGTTAGAAAAGAGAGAGAGAATAAAAATCTTTTTTTTGTAATCCATTGGCAATAATCATTGGAAACATTAAATATTCTTCAAATGCTTATTCTTTATATATTTTTTGAAATGAAAAATGGACCACTTTTGTAATCTTTCTTTTACACTAGCAGATTAGAATCATCTTTCTGTGTCTTTCAAAGTCTTCTCTGCCACCACCACTTTGAATGGCCATGTGGTGTTCCCCTGTATGAATGTCCCACAGCTGATCTTCTAGACCTTCACACTGGACATTTGGGTTGTTAAAACAAGAAGACATTTCAAAAAAACATTTTAACCAGGTTGGTAAAATTTATCAAAACCTCCTCCCTGCAGTGAGCAGCAATAGGGGGCAATCGGCTCTGGAGGGCTGACATTTGCTAGCAAAGACCCCAGCGCCAGGCAATAACATAGCTGATTTATTGGGGTGGAGGGCAGGCTCTCAATTTTATGTGCTCAACCTACCTGGAAATTCTCACCTAAAGACAAAGTAAAAATGTCTCTCAGATTTACCTGTCTCACTCCTTAGAAGGAAGAGCTTGAGTCCTTGGCAACAAGGAGCAAATATTCTCACCACAGTGCAATGGTTGAGAATACGGACTCTGGAACCGGACTGGCTGGGTTCGAATCCCAGCTCTACCACTGACCAGCTGTGAATCAGCTCACCAAACCCCTGGAGAGGAAGCGCTGAAGACGGAAAAAGCCTGGTCCCCTCATGAATGCATGGAGCCAAGACCCTGCCTTCCTCACTCAACACATGAAACTGTCACCAGAGTGTCTTAAGGCCCTGAGGTGTGGGAGAGTTTGCACAGTAGCTAGTGTACTCCTGCCTCAGTTTCCCCATCTGTCATAGAACCGTTCTGAACATCAGATGACTTACTCTAGGCAAGGGTGATGAGGAAGCTTGGTTGTTCCCCCGCAACCATCAAGGATGCCCAAACATCTGTGGCTTTTATCACCAACCGGACATGGCTCTGCATCCCAGGAATTTCCCTAAACTCTTCTTGAATATTTTCCATCCTGAAACCCTCTTGCAGGAAACAAGTTTGTGTACTCCTCTCCGTAAGAAGTTACAGCAACTCACTCATCCAGGGCGAGAGAATACACGTGTTCTAAAGCTGCCAACGTACTTCCTCACACACGATGAGTCAGTACGAACCACGCAAGGCGAAGACCCCGTGAACTTCATCTCTATTGGCTCGGCCAGGCGCAGTTCCTCTCAGCCCACGACAAAACTGTGAAATCGATGGCTCCGTCAGCTTCCAACCATAAAACTAAGGACCGACGATACATAAATTTGGAACTTACACATTCTGAATGACAGCTAATTACACATGTATCCCAGCTAATTACACATCTATCTAGCAATTATCTATAAAAGATTGCTTCTCATAACTACTAGCTATGGTTCTCGCTTTTTTGTTTATTTGTTTTTTGGTGCATAGACCCCTTTGAGAATCTGATGACGGCTACTGACCTGCCGCAGAAAAAATGCAGAGATGGAATGTTCCACATACAATGTCAGGTGGTTAGTGGGTCCTTCAAGGTGACTGAGGACCCTGATATGAGTTATGACAAGTTTAAAATTACTCAGCAATTTCATAATGATCCTGACAGTTAATGCTTTGATTACCAGGAGAACATCTAAAAGCAATATTTAAAAGCATCACTATATGCAGAGACTATTTCTAGAAGTATATATTAAATATGAGAAATTGTGAATGGAGGCTGCCTCTGGTATAAGGGACCCGAGGGCTGGAATGAAAGGAAGATTCGTATATTTTCATTGGATGTCCTTCCACAGTTTACTTATTTTTTACCATGCGCATGTATTACTTTCCTAATTGAACAAAGAGTTAATTAAAAGTTATTTCAGTTAAGAACTATACACGATGCATTGTTACTTCCATGCCTGCTAACCCAGCAGGGTGGAACCCACACCGGCGGGGACAAGCAAAGCATCAGTCAAGGAGAGATTAGGAATTATTTCTACTGGGTCTTCAACACAGGTCACTAAAGTTCCAAATGGGAGGGGAGGGTGAACATTGTTTTTTGTTTTTTCTCCTCCCCGCGCCCCTCCCCCCCGCCGCCGCGTGCTTTCTGGCTGTCAGCATTCCTTCTTTGTCCCGTTTCTCAGCCCTGACGACATTCAGCTTTCCCTTTCTGACCTGAGAAGCTCTTGGCGTGTTCAGAAAACAACCCCTTGTCTGCCATGTGCCGCCAATATTGCTTCCATGTAGCATCTGAATGTATCGAAGTTTTTAAATTTTAGGAGCCTAATCTATTGATCATTTTCAATAATTTCTTTTATAATTTTACCTTTTACCATCATGCTGAAAGAGCCTGTTTCTGAAAGGGGCTGTAGGAACTTTACAGTAGAGAAACATGCCAGAAACCACCTTAACCCAGCAATCCACATGGACACAGAGTCCTGTTGATAGTATGTAAATCCTGCCATGACGCAAGGAGAAAGACACTTCACCTCTGTGGGACTCCTTCCCAAGCCCGAGGCTCCGTCTAATCACGAGACCGCATCAGACAAACCCGAATTCAGGGACATTCTACAAAATACTGACCAGTACCCTTCAAAGCTCTCAAGGTCATGAAATTCAAGGAAATACTGAGAAACTATCACAGACTGGGAGAGACTAAGGAGACAGATGACTAAATGCGACGTGGTACCTTGGATTGGGTCTGGGAGAAGGAAAACAGCAGTGGGAGAACTGATGAGACCCAAATAAATCCTGTAGTTTAGTTAGCAGTAACGTTAATGCCTTAGCGTCGATAAGGATACGGTGGTCATGTAAGATGCCAACACAAGGGGAAATTGGGTAAATGGTGTCTGGAAACTTTCCGAACTATCTTTGCAACTTACGTTATTCCTAAATAAAAAGTTTTATTTTAAAAAAAGTCTCGGCTAGGACTGTTGCTGGACACATCATTGGTTTCTAATTTTCCTACTATTATTTAAAAAAACAAAACAGTGTTGAAACTAACTTATTACATTGTTTCCTCAGTATAAAATCCTCGCGTTGAAACCATTATATTTTTTAAAGCTTTTGGGCAGTCTAGGAAGAAAAGCAGAAAGAACAAGAAAGAAAAAAACCATCAAAGTCCCTGTCTGGGGTGGGGGGGGGAGGGGTTCCAGGAGGATGGTGGAGGTGGAAGGTGGTTCCAGGTGACCCATGCAGTGGGGGAGGGGCGGATGTAGCCGGTGGGGGAGGGGCGAGGCAGCAGTCTTTGGAGCTTTGACAGCAAGGCGGCTTATCTTGGACTTGATCCTGCAGGCAGCAGGGAAGCAGCAAAGATTTTAGTTCAGTGCAAGACACAGTTTTTGATTCGTTATCTTACTTGTTTGTTTCCTAGTTTATCGACTCCTCTCTGTGGCCCTGTAAGGTATAAGCTCCATGAGGGCAGGGACCCCATCTCTCTTGCACCCCACACTGTTTCCCCCCAAAGCCTAGAAGAATGCCTGGCCTGTGCAGAGAACTCAATGAGTATTGTTGAATGAATATCTGAGGCTTGTTTCCAAAATGACTTTTTTCCCCAAGTTTTTTATTGTGATAAAATACACATAACATAATATTTACCATGTTAACCATTTCCAAGTGTACAGTTCGGTGGCATTAACTTCATTTGTACTGTGCCACCATCACCACCGTTCATCACAGAACAACTGTCATCTTACAGAACTGAAACTCTGTATCCATTAAACACCAATTCCCCTACCGGCTCCCCCAGCCCCTGGCAACCACCATTCTACTTTCTGTTTCCATGATTTTGACTATTCTGGTTTCCCCATATAAGTGGAATCGTACAGTATTTGTCTTTTTGTGGCCGGTTCATTTCACTTAGCATAGTGACCTCAAGGTTCATCCACGTTGTAGCGTTTGTCAGAATTTCTTTCCTTCCTAAGGGTGAATAATATTCCACTGCATGGATGTACCACATTTTGTTCAGCTATTCATCCATCAGCAGACATTTCGGTTGCTTCCACATTTTGGCTATCGTGAAGAATGCTGCTGTGAACATGGGTGTACAGACAGCTCTTCAGTCCTCTTGAGTATTCTACCTGGAAGTAGAATTGCTGGGTCCTATGGTAATTCTATTTTAATTTTTTGAGGAACTGCCATACCAAAAATGACTTTTAAGAAGAAATTATATAAAAGGTTTCTCCCGACCTTGCCCTATGTATCTAGTATCAGCTCCTGTGAATGAAGCTCTCTCATACCTCAGGGCCTTTGCACAGGCTCTTGCCTTGGCCAGGAACACCTACTGCTGCTTAACTTCCACATTCCATCTCAGACTTCACTCTTTCTGAAAATTCTTCCCAACTCTGACGTTTGGGTTAAACCCCCTCCGTCACAGCCCTGGGCTCCCTCATCCCTTGTTGGGGGTACTGTCATGGCACATTCACTGCTGGCTCCCCCCACGGAGGGGGCTTGTTCATCCCCGGTGTCTGGCACAGTGTGTATCAGAACATTTGTTTAAAGTGACGGCGTCTGTCTGTGTTGAGCCACAGAAGACTTCCCTTGAAACGGGAGAATTTGCATCTGTCACTGTTTGAAAACAACAATTACCCATAGACATCTCCAGGGCATAATTGCTACCCTCCAAACTGCAGTTAATGAAGCTATAATATGTGAAGCTTCTTAGGGTAACTTCAGAGAGGAAAGTTTTACTGTTGGTTATTTGTTTTTATCTTTTCATCATGTCCCCCTACCTAATATCAACAAACCACGCCCACACCCTGCCCAACACAAGCCGGCCTGTGCCTGCGGGGAACGTGTAGGATGATACGGGGAAGGCAAGTAACTTCTCCCTCTCTCTCTCCAGCTGGATGTGAAGAAAAAAACATGGCAAAGACACAAAATTCACCAAGATTCAGAGCTACCTGGTTCTACATCTTGAGTAGAGGAAATAGCAAAACCTTCTGAAGACATTCAGAACTCTGTATCATGTGAGATCAAGAGCTTAGAAAAAGGAACTTGCCCACTGCGGTGAGTTCTTGTCCTGTTCTGCCAGGGTGTGTTGGGTGACCTTGGGCCCATTCTCTTGGGCCTCTCAGGCCAGGAGATAGGCCCGGGGAAGCTTCCATTGGTAAAGCTCTGGGACATTACAAAAAGGAGAAATGCCAAAACAGGGTAGCAGCAATGGGATGTGTTTGAAATGCAGGCATCGAACAAACTAATGTTCTGTGCACGTCACCAATATAGATCGGGCTGCTGGCACCATAGTGACAGGCTTTGTGATAAACGTTAATCGCTAGTGTACACAGCAGTGTGGCCCATAGGGCACACAGGCTGCGCAGTGATTGTGGGTTTGGGGCCAGCTGCTCTAACACTGGGAGTGCCTCATCTGGAGAGGTGTCAAAGATCTACATTTGGTGACCCTCCTCGGTGTCAGGCCTGAGTGCCACCTCCCCCCCAGCAAGGGCCTTTGTGTTTTGCGGCCTGAGTTTCTCCTCAGAATGGAGGTGGCTATATTAACAACGGCTTCCAACTTTCTGTTTCATTTTTAAAGTCGCAGAATTTTTTTAAAGGGGTCTTTTGCACCCGTTACATCTGGAATGTATATAAGCAAAGCTTCCGTCTGGCTGGCCCTGCCTCCCACCACCCAGCTCTGTCCCAGCAAGGCCCTGAGTTGCTTCTGGAACCCGTCCCAGGAATCCCAACGTTCCCAGGATCACAGTATAAAAACCAGTGGACTGGAGCCACGTTGCCCAAGGTTCATACCATGCAATTAGGAATACGTTTTATCTGGTGACTCAAGACATACCCACAAACAGATAACTAAAAGGTTTGCTAAAGAATATTTTTCACAACAGAAAACACACTTTATTTTCTAGTCTACTTTCTTCTATTTCACTTTTAAGAAGCCAGTGGAAAACCACTCAAGTGGTTAAAAAACCCACTGAGAAGTTGCTGTGCACAGTCTGTAAACATTAACTTAGCAAATATCCAAGATCATTACTAGTACTTCCAGTACTGAAAATGTGTGGCATTCACAAAGTTACGATCCCGTTAGAGGATGCGAGACCCCACCCCAGGAGATCCTGTCCCCAGGGTGGGGTGACCCACCTGAATCACCTAACTAGGAAACACATTCTCAACACATCTTTGCCATTGAAACACCTGTTCCCCAAGAGGCAGGGTTAGAGATGAGCAAGCCCAACACCCGATGCCTAATCCCAGGGAGATTTGGAGCAAGGGGTGGTGACGGCAGGGTCAGGGCACTAGGCTGGGTCAAAACAAGCACAGCAACAAATTGGAAGAAACAAAGCTCTCTCCCTCCCTCCCTGTGAACTCTGAGTTACAACCA